AGAGAGTTGCAACCCTGTGTATGCAGACATAGCAAGCCGCATGCACACTTCAAGTGACGTAGGCTTTGCTAATGCTTGGCCATGTGCCTAGATGGAGAGGTATTCACAGAAGGGGAAGGAAGGAAGAAAAGGGAAGGGAGTTAGAGCCATAGAGCTCTGTCATGAACAGAGTTCTTCCCATAGGGGGCTCGCGTGCAGTGTTCTCACTACTAGAGAGTGAGAACTTCTGTGAGCCTAGCACCTTCCATAGGCCCTTGCAGGCTAATGCTGTTCGCTTCAAGTTCGTTAGTCTTGACCAACTCTCAGGATGGATTCCACTGTAATGCTGGACATTTCTTAATATGACTGACTATGTAAAAAGGAATTATCATATATTCAACTGCTGGGCTTCTATTTTACAAAGACATTAGTAAAGTTTCTCTGGTTAAAAGATAATATGTTAAATTGTACTTATAAAATACTTAGGCATCTTTAAACAGTTGAGTAAAAACTGAAGAGTTTTTAAAATAAGAAGAATTTATTTAAAGGGAGGCTGTATTTGCCTGTAGAATGAGTGGAACATTAGAAAACATCTATCAAATTTCAGTGAGCGGGCAACTTACCTGCATTGAGGATGAACCGGTCACATTGCTTATTCTTCACCTCGTTGCTTATCTTACATTTAGATCTAACTATGAAATTGCTAACGACACCAGTTATACAGTAGGTACGCAACACAAAGCTGTTAAACGGATTAAGAGTGGATAAAAGGACAACAGAATGAATGAGGAGGGACTCACGTTCGCTAACTGGCTGGGAATGTGACTGGCACAGTGCTACGGGTTTTGAGTACATCTTCTCGTGTTTTTCCTTGAAACAGTTCTTCAAGTGACATAGGCTTTGATAATGCTTGGACATTGTAAGTGCTCAATAGATCACTTTAACCACTAAAATGCATCACTGCGACTATTGAAATGTGTAAACTGTAACTTACGGAAGGATTTTAATCCGTAAGAACATCACAGCAGCACCTGGAATACTCATCGGCAAAAGGCGTCACACTGACTTTTCATATGTCCAAATTCTCTTTGTCTGGGTCAGAGCGGAGTAGCCCAGGAAATACTTTATGAATATAAATCATTGGCATTTGAGAGTAAGTTATTGCTCTGTTATTCTAAAAACAGGAAACATGAGCAACATTATTTCAGTGTCAGAATTTTTTTACTATAATTGGTTAAATAGAAAAACTGTATAAAGGGTCGCGGCATTAGGAAGGTTGAGGACCACTGCAAGGCAATGGCAGCAGTACAGTGCCCAGGAAGAGGAGAACATCGACCACCCAGGTGACTGACTGCTTGTTTCAATGTGTCAATGATCTCAATAAATGTTAGGTGGCAAAACTTTTCCTCAAGAGAGAGTTAACTAGCTTAATTATTCTTTGTTCAGGTGGGTCCCGAGTTAGATCTTGCACAACTGATAGGGTGTTTAAGACACTTTCTGGCCCTGGCCAGTTTGGCTCAGCGGTTAGAGCGTCGGCCTGCGGTCTGGAGAGACCCGGGTTCGGTTCCCGCTAAGGGCACGTACTTCGGTTGCAGTTTGTCCCCGGCCCTGGTTGGTCGTGCGGGTGGCAGCCACTCGATGTGTCCCTTCACGTCGATGTTTCTGTCTGTCTCTCCCTTCCTCTCCCTCCCTCCCACTCTATCTATACAAAAAATGGAAAAATATCCTCGGGTGAGGATTAAAAAAAAAAAGACACTTTCTGTCTGTGAAGTTAACTCTTTACCATCATAATCTCTTATCCTTGCTAATGAGTTGGACCACGTAGGCTCTATTTGTGAGAGCAAGCACCAAAAGGAAAAATGTTAGCTGGCAGAAAACTTACAGATTTACTGCCAATGTCGTCAATCTTGTAACAGTTCCATTAAATAAGGTGTATTGAGCTCTTACTGTTCAGATGGCATCTTCATGCAGGGTAAGTTGCATCCTGGTCTTTGACATTTGAATTGCAATTTTATGGGAGATATAAGAATCTTACTCATTAACATTGACCTTTATAAGAAATGCCTCTCTATCTTATACAATGTTTCCTCCCTTCAAGTCAACTTTGTTGTATATTACTATTGGGACACCAGCTTTCTTCAGATAACTGTCTGCATAGTATATCTTTCCTTCAACATTTTGCTTTCAGCATCTGTCTTTATATTTAATGAGTCCTTAGAAGCAAGCAAAAACACAGGTTTTGTCATTGTTTGCTTCATTATTTAGTTACAGATGTTTCTCCTTTTTCCTCCTTAGACACCCTCCTCCCGATCCCCCCCCCCACACTCCCCCCCTCAGCATTGTTGTCTATGTCCATTGGTTATGCATACATGCATGTAAGTTCTTCGGTTTATCTCATCCATTACCCCCAGGCCCCCCTCCTCTGAGGTCTGTCAGTCTGAACCATATTCCTTTCTGTCCCTGGGTCTATTTTGTTCATCAGCTTGTTTTGTTCATTATATTCCACAAATAAGTGAGATCATGTGGTATTTGTCTTTCTCTAATTGGCTTATTTCACTTAGCATTATACTCTCCAGGTCCCTCCCTATCATCTCAAAGGATAAAAGATCTCTCTTTCATACAGCTGCACAGTATTCCATTGTGTATATGTACCACAGCTTTTTTATCCACTCATCTATTGATGGACACTTGGGCTGTTTTCAGATCTTAGCAATTGTAAATAGTGCTGCTTATGAACATAGGGGTACATATATTCTTTCTGATTGGTGTTTCAGGCTTCTTAGGGTATATTCCTAGAAGTGGGATCACTGGGTCAAATGGCAGTTCAATTTTTAACATTTTGAGGTAACACCATACTTTTTTCCATAGTGGCTGCACCAGTCTGCATTCCCACCAGCAGTGTGCTAGAGTCCCCTTTTCTCCACACCCTCGCCACCACTGGTTGTTTGATGATTTGTTGATGGCAGCTGTTCTGGCAGGTGTGAGGTGATACCTCATAGTGTCATTGTTTGCTTTAAACTAAAGCAGTGGTTCTCAACCTTCCTAATGCCACGACCCTTTAATACAGTTCCTCAGGTTGTGGAGACCCCCAACCATACAATTATTTTCACTGCTACTTCAATTCATACTGTTATGAATCGCCATCGGAAATATGTGTTTTCTGATGGTCTTAGGCGACCTCTGTGAATGGGTTTTTCAACCCCCAAAGAGGTTGTGACCCACAGGTTGAGAACCGCTGAACTATAGTATTGTTACTTGACATTTGAAGTAATTATACTGATACGTTTGGCTTTGTATCTACCACCTTACTTCTTCATGGGAAAAGCCACTGTCACTGCATTGTTGTTACTTTAAATTGAGTGTTTATTGTTCTTAACTTTTCCACTCTTTTCCTCTGATGCTTTATGTGCAATTCTCTTTGCATTTATCTTGCTCAGAGTTTGGATAGTTTTTCTTGTCTGTTGACATCCATTGTTTTGAAAAATTCATCATCCTCCCTCCCAATGTGGCCTCCTCACTATGTTTTATCTCCACCACCACCACCACCCCCATATCAAATCACAGGTATGTTAGACCTGTTCAATGTCCCATATTCTCTTCCATTTGTTTTTCTGTTTTGTAGGAGATATATATAGTATCCTCTCTTCCAATTCATTAATCTACATTGGCACATGTTCATTCTTTGCTTAAACCCATTTTTCTCAACTTCAGTTATTGTAATTTTCAACTCTAGAATTTCCATTTCATTTTTTAGATTCCAATGCTCTGGCAGAATTTTTCAGCTTTCCTATATTTTCTTCTTTCTCTGTTTTTCTTGATAACATTAATCATAGTTGCCATTGGGTCCTTGTTGGGTAATTTTAATATCGTGTTCACTTGTAGCTATGCCTCATTTTACATTTTTCCTCTTAGCTTTCTGTTCACAGGGTCCTACTCTTTAAATGCTATTTGTTTAATACCTTACGGTAGAAAAAAATTTGTTGAAACTCTATATAATACTATCTTTCTCTAGAGAGGATGCATGTTTTAATCTTTTGCAGAGCAGAGGCTGATGACATTGGTCCAGTCAGAGACTGAGCTGAATTGAGGTTGTGGGGCAGGTTATATTTATGTATTTGTTTTGTTTTCATTGAGAGGTAAGTGACATATAACATTATATTACTTTCAAGTATATAGCAATGATCCTATTATTTGTATATATTGTTAAATCATTGCCATGTAAGTCTGGTAAAATTTGTCTCTATACATAGTTACAAAATTTTTTTCTTGCAATGACTTTGAAGGATTACTCTTAGCAATTTTCAAATATGCAACACAGTATTAGCTATAGTCATCACACTGTACATTACATCCCTATAATTTATTTACTTTATAACTGAAAGTTTGTACCTTTAGACACCCTTCACCTATTTTGTGCCCCACCCCAACCCTTGCCTCTAGGAACCATCAATCTATTCTCTGTATCTATGAATTCGATGTTTGTAGATTCCCCATATAAGTGATATCATATGGTACTTGTCACTTAGCATAATGTCCTCAAGGTCCATCCATGTTGTTGCCAAAGGCAAGATTTTATTATTTTTTTATGTCTGAATAGCATTCCATTGTATGTATGTATATCATCCATCGATGGACACAGACTGTTTCCACACACTGCTACTGTAAATAATGCTGCAATTAACACAGGAGTGTTTTAGCTTGTGTTTTCACAGTCTCGAACAAATACCCAGAAGTGAAACTGCTGGACCATATGGTAGTACCAATGTCTGGTTAGAGTGCCATCAATCTGTTTCTGTCAAGTATGCATACATTCATCATTTAAGAACAGAACAATATTCATATTGATGTACTTGAAAAAAATGACAGAGCTAGTTTTAAGTGTATATTAAATTCAAGTTTTTAAAAAGGAAAGAATTTACTTCATAATAACCTTCAACTCTAAAAATAACAGAGGCAGTCAATTCAAGTGGACTTGTAAAACAATTTTAATTTTTACTCAAAATATATATCGTTAGCCCTTATCTTACACTTGGAAAAATGGAGAGAATTGTACAGAAAAAGAAGGAAACAGATTTTTAAACTCAGGTTTTAAAAATATTCAGATAAGACAGGTAAAAATTCCAGATACTTTTCCCATTGCCCAACATGGTCAAACATTAATTTTCATACCCTTCCTTACTTTATAACATAAATATTATCACTTATTAAGAATAAGAGTTTATTTTAGATTTTTTCCTAAATACAGGCTCCCCAGTAGTGCCACTGACTTTATAAACTGACCTGCAGCTTCTTCTTCTTTAAAAAATTCTAAACTATTTCAAGAATAAATATCACATATCCAGGGCAAATGATTTTATCCCCGCCAAATGTAAGTGATCCGTATTTTACAACGAAGAAATCGCAGTATTTAACAGCATGTTACGATACTATGATCGGACTAACCAGAGTATGGACCTTCGTATACAAATTCTGATAAGAAAGACACCTGAAAAATAGAGGGAATGAAAAGAAATGCTAGGGACAACGCTTGACTACATAAGTTTTAATTGAAACTTTCCAGAGCTGATAAAATTCTTAAGAAATTGCTGAAAAGTGCTGCCCCTAACATGAACCGTAAGTAGTACTGTCTGTCCTGGGAAAGTCACCAACCCAGCAGCCAGGCGTAAGTGGGAGTCAGACAGCTCTGTTCAGTCGCTCCGACCGCAGCAGGCCGCATGTACTTCAGTGCATCCTGACATTGCAGAGAAACACATCACAACCTTACTTAACACAGCAAGGCATGAACATACACAGTGAAACAATAACAAAAATAACAATAACAACAAAACCCTGTGATGGTGAACTTCGTTCGTACCAAAACCATAGCAAGGAACTACTGAAAAAGAAGGTCTGTCACACAGCACGGGGCACACGGCACCCAGGCCCGGGCACCGCTCCGCGCGGCGTCGGCTCCACGCGGGGTGTGCTCCGCAGCAGCCCCCAGACCTGACTGTAGTGAATGTGGACTGTGGCTGTTCACTCACGCCATAAATAAGGGTGGCCAGTGCCATTATAGATCTTTGTTGACTGCATATTACTCTTGAGGAATACTTAGCCTCTAGACAGTTTCTTAACAAGCAGTTTCTCAAAGATGAACGAGAATAAACCTTCACTGGCCTCGTTGGCTGCTAGGACGTTGGCCACTTACGTCTTCTGAAAACCCCAAAGCTGTCTGATAGGCAGTCACTAAAATAAATCCTCCCACTTTCAACCTACTGCCCTTTCTTTTCCCTACGGCACACCCAATGTAAACCCAAAAACATGTGGGAACTTAATATACAAGGTTTATCAAAGTGCAAAATGTGTTACACATAGTTTCATAGGCTTCATTTAAACAGCATTTTATACAATACAGTACAGTTTGATATTTCTGCTCATAAATTACATGACTTAACAACCACTTAAAAAGTCGGCCACTCAAAGTAGCCCAAAGCCTTTTTACACATGGTTAATATAGTTGAACTGTACAAGCTTTGTCCACACCAAAATAAAGTTAATCTTACACTTATCACATATATACATATGTATTTTTAAATGCTCTTCAAATGCTTACATATAGCTAGACAAATCGCACAAACCATGAATTATCTTACAGTTTGGTTTCTGATTTGCACATAAACATTGTCCAGCATATTTTAAAACTGCGGTTCACTTGACTTCTTTCTGCAAGGTTTGGTCACCCTGCAGCTCTTCTGGAAGGGTCCTTGACCGCTGCAGAACCACGCTAAGTTCTTCAATGACCTTTGACGGCAGCTTATTGCCAGGGACCAGAGTGGCTTTGCCATTCCTGTCCTCAGTCTTCCCCAAGGCCTTTAAGCCTTTGAGGCCCTTCTGCTGCCCATGCAAGGCCTCAGCCTCGCTGTCCTCCATGCAGTTTAAGCTCCGGTGTTTCTTGGTTCGATGGCGCACTCGCTCGTCCCTGTGCTCCAGGCAGTGAGCTACCAGGGTGGCTCTCTCCTTCAAGGTGCTGTCCCCAGCCTCCTGGTCGCGCTGTCCACTGAGCTGCAGCTTCTCCAGTTCCGCTCTCACACTCTAAAGTAAAACAAAGCATCGCACGGGAAAGCAAGACTTGGCACAACTTATTAAAACATGTATTGCATATAGAAGTCGATGCTTCTGAGATTAGAGCTTATGTCCATGATTTAGGTTCTAATTTTACTTTGACTCAAGGGGCTTGTTTACATTTATACACTGATCTGAGAGCTACAAAATCAACTAAAATGGAGACCACGGAAATTCATTTTAACATGCATTTAATGGAGAACTTCAAAGACATCTCTCACGTCAGTTATTCAAATTGACTGTCATTTCAAACTCGCCTCTTCTGCCTCACTCCTGCTTGCGTGTGCCCCGGTCCGTGCAGCACCTGTGGTTCCTACAGGGTAGTACTCACAGCACCCCGAGAAAGGAAGTCTCTGCAGCCACGTGAGCAGGGGGATCTGTGCCACACAGCCCCTCTCCGGGACTCACACTGCACAGCAGCACGTTAAAGACACTGAGAAGCATTATGAGGAGACCTCTGTTTAACTCTTTTTGTACTTTTATACCGCCCCCCAAAATATTTAGTAAAATCTTTTCTCCCACGTAATATTAGAATTCTAGATATATTTTTAAAAACACTAAAATCCCCCCCCCCCATGTGTGTACTCCCACTCCTGTACCAGGGGACTAGAGCACCGTCCAGTCAGCGAACTCGGAGGACCCACAGGCACTGGAAGTCCACTGCTGCTACACCTGCAGGGGTTCCGAGGTGCACCTCCATTGCAGTTCCAGGTTGCCGCATAGTGGTGAGCTATTTCTATACCTTATGAAGTGGTCACCCCGGTAAGTGTAGCAATCCACACGTCATTATCAGTGTTTCTGAGCACCTGCCCCAGGTGGTGCTTTACATCCCGGTGGCTGTTTCTGTTCATGGGTAAATTATATTTCTACTCCCTTCACCCTTTTCGCCCATCTTCCCAACCCCCTCCCGTCTGGCAATCATCAGTTCGTTCTCTGTATCTATGAGTTTGTTTCTGTTTTATTTTTTCATTTATTTTGTTGTTGTTTTAGAGTCCACATGGTATTTGTCTTTCTCTGACTTATTTCCCTTAGCATACCCTACAAGTCCATCCATGTTGTAGCAAATGATAAGATTTCATTATGTATGGCTGAATAATATTCCATTTATATGTGTACTACAACTTCTTTATCCTTTGGTCTGTTGATGGACACTGGTTGCTTCAATATCTTGGCTGTTGTAAATAACGCTGCAACAAACACAAGGATGTATATATCTTTCGAATTAGTGTTTTGAGTTTCTTCAGATAAATGCCCAGAAGTGGAATCACTGGCTCATAAGGTAGTTCTAGTTTCAATTTTTTTGAGAAACTTCCATACTGTTTTCCACAGTGACTGCACCAATTTACAATCCCACCAACAGTGCAGGAGGGCTCCCTGTTCTCCACAGCCTCGCCAATACTTGTTTGTTGATTTATTGATGACTGTCATTCTGGCAGGTGTGAGGTGATATTTCATGGTTTTAATTTGCATTTCTCCAATGATTAATGATGTTTAGCATCTTTTCATATGTCTATTGGCAATCTGTATGTTCTCTTTGTGAGACATCTATTCAGGTCCTCTGTCCATTTTTTAAATCAGATTGTCTTTTTGGTGTTAAATTGTATGAGTTCCTTATATATTTTGGACAATAACTCCTTATTGGATGTATCATTGGCAAATATCTTCAGCTATTCAATAGGTTGTTTTTTCATTTTGTTGGTTTCCTTTGCTGTGCAAAAACTTTTTAGTTTGATGTAGGTCCCATTTGTTTACTTTTTCTTTCTTTACCCTTGCCCGAGGATATATATCAAAAAAATATTCCTAAGAGCAATGTCAGAGTTTACTGCCTATGTTTTCTTTTAGGAGATTTATGGTTCATAAGAAAAATGTTCAATTCTTACTAATTTTGTTTTAATGCTTCTTAAACTTTCAACTTTTTTTCCCAACATTGAAATATTTAAAAACATTATTTGCCTATATGTTGAATCACCAAATCACCACATTTAAATTTAGAAGAAAAAAAAAAAACCTGATTAGTTTAACTACTCATTAATTTTCCATTAATTAATATTTTATGGAATTGTTTTAAGAGCCTCTTATAATTTCTTCAGAGTTTTAGATTCATCAGCTTCCTGGTCTTAAGTATGCTAAAAAAAACTTTCCTGAATTTGGTATTAGGTAACAATTATATATTAAATTTTCATCCCAATTTGTAACTGGGTGCTAGTTCATTTATTTTGATGCTAATACTATATCCTTTGCATTACCCTGTAACTGATCCTAAGGCCGTGTCAGGACAAACTGGGGTCACAGTTGGGCATGTCTACTCCCTATGTTTGCTTCATTTGTTTAAACCATGTCTCCTAACCTGGGTTCCTGGGAAAAATGACTCTTAGAATTGTAAGATTCTTGATTGGCTAAGGAGCCCATAGTTTTGCAGGGCAGTCTGTTAGCCAGAAAACCTAGAAGTGCAGAATGGCAGGAGAAACAAGCTCATGACTTCTTGGAGGCTTATTCTTGGGTTTGAGTACATCAGTGTAGAAGGACCAAGTACGCCACTGAGGTAATAGACCATTATTTCCAAAGCGTTTCTCTTTCAGAGAAGAGGAACGTTATGATGAGATAAATGCTCAAAGAAAGATAAGCATGGACAAATATTTTTAAAAATCTGACCACTAAATTAAAACGGTGTTAGTCTTTCCAAAAATATTTCTGTTTGGAAAGCAAGAAATTCAAAGAGCTTAATTCCAAACCTAGCCTTTAAGAAGAAATAATATCTTTCAATTTGAGAAATAGCATCTTTCTGCTTTGAGAGACTCCATGAAGGCACTGAAACATGCATTCGTCCCAACGTAGGTCATTAGCTTTGAATGTAAACAGCCAGCATCCTTTCCTGAACAGACCCAACCTCGAGTCAGGACTGATGTACTTGTTCTGTGCCCCTCGAGGTGAGAAGGAAAACAAATTGCAGCTGTCGTGAAAAGTGCCAAATCTTCTTTATTGATGCCCAGAGGTCATCTCGCAGTTCCTTAAATTAACTGGGACACCCCATTTGTTCCCAAACCACTGGAACTTGATTAGTTACTAGAAAGTCTAGTTACCATGGCTCCAGACATGGGCTGGTTCTCAGACTGTTAGAGGTAAACCAGGAAGACTACTTGGAGACTGTTTTTACCACCAGAAGTTCTGTACACGTGTAACATTGCTTGGTTACTTTAAGGATAAAAAACAGGTAGCATTGGGCATATTTAACAGTCAATGACATTATTAAAACTAATCATTTAAAAGAAGTTAAAAAAAACACAAAACTTCAAAAAGGTGCCATAGGGTTTTTCATGATGTTTTCTTATGCTTTGATGATTTTTCTTATGCTTTTATAATTTTTCTTATGCTTTTCAAAGTGAGCATTCTTGATTTTTTTGAAGCCAATAAATGAATTAATGCACTCAATCACAGTAAGACATAAGAAAACAAACACTATAATTAATATAAAAGAGAGAAAGTCCTAATCTACCTGAATGTTTCTCCGGGCTTGGGTTGCATTTCCCTCATGCTGGATGGGAATCAGAGGCAAACCTCCGATTTTGGGATTTTTGGTTATAGAGCGTTTTCGTTCCTTTCCAGCTGGTGGCTGTATATCATTTTCATGCTGCGGAAACAAGATTTCCTGCCGTTGGTGTGTGGTTTCATTACGTGGCGTACACCATGTCAGGAGTCACTTGGCTCCCTTCCCATGCACACAGATCGATGGTCTGCCTCCCAGGAGAACGCCGATCAGGGCGCTGCCTCTGGCCGCAGCATCGCTCGAGGACAGCAAGCTCCTAGTGAACTGAGCTTGGCGGTCTCAGTTCAATTTCTAAGTTTCAAATACACCAGTTCTCTACTACTTATCAAGCCAAAAAAGGGAAAATATTTTAAAAACTGGCAAATCTCTTTGTGGGAGAAAAAGAATACACTTGTCTACATTTCTATCCCTGTGGTAAAGTAACTACACAGTCACTTTTGCTCTCTCCACCCAAGACGACTTTAGTGTAAACATAATAATCTGATCTTATATAGTCTAAGTCAATCTTAGGCACGTCTATGAGAAAAATTAACCTTATTTTATGACCTTTATAAATGTTACTTTTTCATCTAATTGAATTCTAAAGAAATGTTACCTTGTACACAGACATTTATACTGAAAATCATTGTACAACAGAGAGTGTCGTACATTTGTTCTCAAATTATTGACTATATATTCTGGCCACTGAGCCATTATAGATATGACTGAGAGAAAGTTAATTTTGCAACTGGGAAAAATATCCACAGGTAAAAATATAAGCTCTTGAGTGATAAATCCTTGAGATATGCAGATAAAAGAAAAATCTTTAAAGATTTTTCTACTCCTCAGGATAGATTCACTTGTCAGATGTTGGGAATTGATTTTCAGACAACAATCTATGAAAGAAATACAGAACAGCAACTATAAAATGAGCAGCTTACAGATGCTGTGATAAAATGAAAAACATTTGGTGAACTATACAGCTAAATGCCTTCTCGTATTTTCCTCTACTCCTTAGACTCAACAGATTCTTGTTCTTGTGTTGCAATTAGTATTTTAATGTAGTGTTTTACAGCACAAAATTCATTTCAACAAATGCTGACTGTGTGCCCACTGTATAATAGCTACTTTATACCGAGGGGCTAGACTTTGTGTTTATCAATATACATATATTATCTAATCCGCAGTGATCTACAGTGCAGACCCCATTTATTACTAGACTTAGTGTATGTGTATGGGGTCTATTCAACAAATCAACCACAGTAGACTGTGCAATATTTCAATCAGAGGGAAAGTGACAAACTTCATAATATTTTTATATCATGGTCCCAAATTTAATAATTTTGATATTATATAACTGGGATGTTCTCAACATGTGAGGCTGGGAGAAAACTGGTTAGCAAGGAAATAGGCAATCCTATAATTATGCTTACACTTTTAGTCACTGATGTATAGTACATGTATTAAATGATACTTTGAGGAACCTCAGAGCAAATGCAGTTTTCAAACACTATTTCTTTTCCTGACATGATAAACAATGCTGTGCATACTGGCTAATTAGGTCTCACTGAATTGACCCAAGAGGTAGTTTACCCAACAGCAGAAATCATTAGATCGCAGTAGTGTGTCCTGACATTTACAGTTGTGTATAAGTGCCTTCCAAAGCTCTCCTGCATAGATCATACAGCTGAGGATCATACTGCCATTATAACCAGTGTTCACACCCCCAAATCTTCATTCCTGTCTCCCACTTTCTCTTTGTTTTCTTTGCCTATAGCTTTACTGAAGTATAGCTAACAAAACTGTAAGCTACTGAAGGTATACAGTGTGGTGATCGGATGTATGAACATGTTGGGAAAGGGTGCCCCATTGGGTAACGACCACATCCGTCACCCAGCATGTTTACCTTTTGTGGGGGAAGGCTTAAGTTCTACTCTCTTGATAAACTGAAACTAAACGATACAGTGTTATCAACTTCAGTCACCGTGTTATACAGCAGATCCTCAGACCTTATTCATCTTAAAACTGAAAGTTTATACCCTTTTACTCGTCTCTCTTTTCCACCCCCTCCCACACCAGCCCCAGCAACCACTTTTCCACTGTTTCTATGAGTTTGACATTTTATTTTTTTAAGATTCCACATATAATGATACCACACAGCGTTTGGCTTTCTCAGTCTGGCTTATTGCACTTAGCATGATACCCTCCAGGTTCATCAATGTTGTCACACGAGACGGGGCATGTCTCTTTTTAAAGGCTGAATGATATTCCAGTGTGTATAGACACTACCTTTCCTGATCCGTTCATTCATCTGCCAACAGACACAGGTGTTTTCATACCTTGGCTCGGGTGAATAATGCTGCAGTGAACGCGGGGTCTGCCTCTCATTCTCCCACCTTGACCTCTTATCTTTCCAGGTAATTTAATTTAGGCTCCTCAAGACCTTCAATGCATTCTACTCTGCACATTTCCCCATATCCTTCACCGCCTGGCCTAGATTTCGGGGTCAGTCCGTGTACTCAGCTCTGTGTGAACACCTTCAAGCCCCACGCTCACTCCCTCCACCATGCTTGCACAGCCCTGGAACGAGTTAAACCCGGTTCCACGTCCTCTGTGAGTACTGACCGACAGATGAAGGAAAATAAAACAGGTCACCCTGGAGATGCACCTCACTTTAAATTAACCTTACACTTCAAGTGAGCACGCAGCACGACATTGACATTCTACTACAGTGCAATTAGCTTCCTCACTCTCTGAAGAAGCTCACCTTTTACTCTGCCCCATGCTTCTAATATCCCACACTGCGGTGACCTGATTTAATTAAAAAATTACTAGTAACCATTCCAGAATTTTACTCTCCCATCATGAAATGTCTCAATCTCCCCTGTATGTACAGCCGAACAAGCGAGGCCCCTCCTCTTCGATCAGTATCGCTCTGATTAGAGAACTTCCTCCAGCCCTGGCTGGTTTGGCTCAGCGGTTAGAGCGTCGGCCTGCGGTCCAGAGAGACCCGGGTTCGGTTCCCGCTAAGGGCACATATACCTTGGTTGCAGTTTGTCCCCGGCCCTGGTTAGGTCGTATGGGTGGCAGCCACTCAATGTGTCCCTTTCACGTTGATGTTTCTCTCTCTCTCTCTTCCTCCCACTCTATCTTTCCAAAAAATGGAAAAATGTCCTCGGGGGAGGATTAAAAAAAAAAAAAAAAAAGGACTTCCTCCAGTGAGCCAGAACACAGTCATTTGCAAAGAAAGGTGCCCCGCTCGACACTCTTCCCAGCAACAACGAACAGGTGCACCTAACGGCTTCATGTCTGCTCGGGCCTCTGCTGGCTCAATAACCCGCCCCCTCCTAAGAAGATACATTTTGCTTCCAATTACTGGGTTGTCTTCATCAGTATATACACAATTTCCCATCTTGAAGACAAACAAATCGAAACCCCAAACCTACCTTGAGTTCTTGTTTCTATCTAGTCATAGCCTCATTTATGTAGCAAATTCCTTGATAGAATATTCTGTACCCATCACTTGCTTTTTTCTCCTTCCTCAACCCATTTCATTCCTTGTGATGGTTTTTCTCATGTTATACTTGGCCTTCAAATTTGGAGTGTCCAGGGCCTGTCGTCTCTTTCTCCTCACGCACAACCCTCTCGCTCATCCCTGTCTCTCTCATATCTCACCCGAACTCATGGCTTTCAAAACAATCTAAATACTGACTTCTCCAAAATTTACATTTCAGCCCCAGATTTCTGCCCAAGTTTGTCATCCCTACACCCAACCTGTAACCCAGCATATCCACTTGTAGGTCTAAAAGGCATCTCAAACTTCATGTGGCCAAAACAGAACTCTCCTTTTTTTCCTGCATCTCTGATAACATCACTTACATTTGCCAGTTGCCCAAGGCCAAAAAGCTAAGATTCTTCCCTGATCTCTAAATGTCTCAACCTCGTGTAGCCAGTGCATCTGAAAGCCTGCTGGTCTGCACCTTCCATGCCCAACCCTGAAGGTCTTGGCAGACCCGCCTGGTCCCACGGCCCTCGTCCCACAGTGATCCCTCCTGCTTCCACGCTGACCCCTGCAGCGCAGCCTCGACCCAGCAACCAACGTGATGTTTTCAATTAATGTGAATTCTATATCTTTTCTTTATTCCCTCTCAAACTCTAAACCGGGGACTACATGACCTGCCCTGTCTTCCTCATCTCTTATGTCCTCTCTTACACAGGCCTTCATGATGTGTGTGGAATAGGCCAAGGTTACGACATTGAGGGAACTTGGTGGCCCCTGTCCCTGGAATGTCCCCTGCTACACAGCGACACAGACACAGCTGCCAGCCAGCGACTCGGAAAGGTAATTTCTGAGAATATTTCTCAGTGTCCTACCCTACCTCTGCCACACTGGCGTTCCTTTCCCTCGCTTATTTTATTTTATCACACTAATATCTATTTGAAATTTTATCTGATTATTCATTTTCTCTTTTTCCTATTTTACAAATTCTAACTGAGCACATATTTTGTAAAAGGCATTGGGTTCTGTGAGGCAGATCTAATACGAGTCTTTCACCAAAGAGGACACACAGATGGCCAATAGACATGAAAAGATGCTCAACATCACTATTTGTCAGACAATGATCACCTCACACCTGTCTGAATGGCTGTCATCAATAAATCAGCAAACAGGTGCTGGCAAGGCTGTGGAGACAGGGAGCCCCCAGCACCGTTGGTGGGGATGCAGGCTGGCGCAGGCACTGTGGAAAAGAGGATGGAGGTTCCTCAAAAATGTACAAACGGGCCCTGGCTGGTTTGGCTCAGTGGTTAGAGCATCAGCCCGCAGACCAAATGGTTGTGGATTTGATTCCTGATCAAGGGCACGTACCCGGGTTGCAGGTTCGATCCCCAGCTCTGGTGTGGTCATGTGGGAGGCAACCAATCAATATGTCTCACATGAATGTTTCTCTCTCCTTCCTCCCTCCCTCCCACTCTATCTACCAAAAAAAATATATATATATATCAATGGAAAAATACCCTTGGATGAGGATTAACAAAACTGCATAATGACACAGATATCCACTTCTGGATATATGTCTGAAGAAACCCAAAACACTAATGGAAAGAATATCTGCCCCCGTGTTCCCTGCAGCGTTATTTACGATAGCCAAGCTCTGAAGCAGCCCAAGTGCCCATCAATAGAGGGGTAGATAAGAGGTAGTAGCACATATACACAATGCAATATTACTCAGCCTTAGAAAAGAATGCACTGACTGTTACAGACAGGCAGGCAGGCGTGAGCAGAGCAGAGACGAAGGGCCAGGTACCGAAACGCGCCAGGGCAGAAAGCACGGGCTGCCTGGCAAGGGGCAGAACAGGGGGCACAAGCATCTTTCCTCCCCTAGCGTATTGCTGGTCACGCGCTTTAGACCCCCTGACCTTTCCTCCCTACAGATCACATCTAGGCCTCAGTTGCATTTCAGCTCCAGGCCAGAAAAGTAGCAAAACCAGACAAGTGACACCAAGCCTGACCTCAGGACCAGCGACATTAACTAGTGACCTCCTGCCCTGGCACCAGGACCCATCAGTGGAGACCACGGCCCTGAAAGAGAACACCTAGAAAGCTGATGAATGTTCCATTGAGACCCACCCCCATGACCTTCCCGAAGATTCCTACCTGCTGGAGAGAGAAATACCCTCCACACAAAGGACCCAGTGTGCGCACCCCCAGCCCCAACCACGCGGGACCACACCCATGCCATTCCCTTCCCCTTCTGTCCCCTAAGGGACCTCAGGAGACTTGCAGCCAGGGGAGCGATGGGCAGCAGCAGCTCATCCCAGGCTAACCCCCTGACTGTCTCCAGGCCCCCTCTCTCTGACTTCCCGATGAGCCAGAGCAGCCCAGCCCGGCTCCCCTGTGCTTCTTCTGTGCTCTTCCTTGTTTCACTGAGCCGAGTGTGTTTTGCCGCGGCCAGTGAGTTCTTGCTGGCTTTGCTGCACTTGGTCTCGATTGAAATCTTCCCTTCGAGAAGGCAAGAACCCAGGTCTTGACATCTCACCAATAACTGGCAACAGCATGGGTGGGACCTAGAGGGTATTATGCTCAGTGAAATAAGTCAGAGAAATATATATACCATCTGATTTCACTCATATGTGGGATCTAAAGAACAAAATTGAAACAGACTCGTAGACACAGACAGCAAACTAGTGGTTACCAAAGGAGGTGGGTTGAAGTACTTGGTTGAAGAGATGAAGGGACTAAACAGTTATACAACAGTCCTGGGGATGTAAAGTACAGCATAGTGAATACAGTCAATAATACTGTAATCACTATGTATGGTGCGGGGGTACTAGAAATATCAGGGGATCACTTGCACAACATGTGGTTGTCTAACCACTGTGCTGTACACTTGAGACTAACACAAAATAATATTGAATGTAAACTGCAAAATAAAATGAGGGGGAAAAAGACTGATAAGTCTTTCCTCTCATGGAACTGATATTTTATTTTATTTTATTTTATTTATTTATTTTTTGTTAATCTCCACCTGAGGATATTTTTCTTTTTTTCTTTATTGATTTTAGGGAGGAAAGGAGAGGGAGAGAGAGATAGAAACATCGATGAGAGAGAACACTGATTGGTTGCCTCCTGCATGCGGACTGGGCCCACAACCTGGGCATGTGCCCTGACCAGGAATCCAGCCAGTGACCTCTTGGTACATGGGTCAACTCTCAACCACTGGGTGGCACTGGCCGGGCCTGAGGATATTTTTCTATTGATCTTTAGATAGAGTGGAAGGGAAGAAGGGGGGAGGGGGAGAGAGACATTGTGATAAAGACACATCAATCAGTTGCCTCCTGTACAACCCCAACCAGGGCCAGGGATCAAACCTGCAACCAAGTACATGGCCTTGACTGGGAAGCGAACCCATCCCTGCGGTCTGCAGGCCGACACTTAACTGCTGAGTCAACTGGCCAGGGCTGGAATTTACATTTTAGTAAGGAAAGACAGCAATGAAAAATCTAAATACACAAATGCTTTGCACTTAGTGCCATGTGTTGCGCACAGGATGTTCAGTGTTCCACAGGCAGGTCTACCTGGAAAATGAGAACGCTTCCCTGAGAATAACTGACAGGCAAGCTGAGGTCTGGAGGACTCTGAGGCGGGTGAGGATGCGGACGGATGTCAGAAGAGTATTCCAGGTACCAGAAAGACTTGTTTTAAGGAGCACTTCCTACTGATTTACTTGTGCGTGTGTGTGTATTAACATGTATTTTAACATTTGCGACTTTCATGTCTGTTTCCCTATGAAGGTAAACCATTAAATCCTTAAATGCAAAGGACTTTCTGTTCCCTGTCTGGCCTGGCTCAGTGGGTAGAATTGGGTTTCGCATTCAATTCCCAGTCAAGGGCACATACCTGGGTTGCAGGTATGATCCCCGGATCTGGTTGGGGTACAGGCCAGATGCAACCAATTGATGTGTCTCTCTCACATAGATCTCTCTCTCTCCCGCCCCCCCAGCCCCCACCCTGGTCCCTCCCACTCTCTCTAAAAATCAGTGGGAAAAATATCCTCAGGTAAAGATTAATAAAAGTAACCAAAAGGACCTCTGTGTTCACATTGACCCTAAGATGGGCACGAACCAGGAAAGGTAGCAGGGCGGAGACAACAAAGGCAGATGAGGCAGGAGAAATAACCGGTTCTGAGGGCAGCCTCTGCTTTCTGGCTATTTATACTCTGATTTTTAAACTATAGTCGACTGACTTCAATTATATAAACAAACAAACAAACAAAAACAATTTAGTTGCGCCACAAAGAGACTGTAATAGTTTTCCACTCTGTAGTTCCAATTTTAGTAAAATTCTACAAATCTAGTATTTTAGAGTAGGACTTGAATATCTGAATTATTAAAAAGTCACAAAAAAGAAGAAAAGTCTCTAAAAAGTTAGCAACTAGTCTTTTTCTGCAAATGTATTCCCAGGCTGAGAGGAACAGTGTTTATTAACCACTAGAGAGGATAATAAATTAAATGAACAAAGAAAATGGTTTTCAAAACAAATGACCAGATTTTGGGGGTGGATTAGCTGCTCTTTAAGAGGAACGCAGAAGTACATCCTCCGTAATAAAGAGTGGCAACCTCATCCTTACCACGAATGCCAATGCTCTTGGGGGAAGCACTACTGGAGAAAAAACCAACTCCACTAATGGGACTATATTTTAGTCAGGAGAGACAGAAATGAAAAACCTAAATACACAAATGTTTTTCACTTAGTGCTATGTGTAGAAGCACAGGATGTTACGTGTTCCTATAGGCAGATCTAACTGGAAAATGAGAAAGCTATATAGTCCTAAGCAAATGATGGCACCTCTGTTCATCTTTATTCCCTCATCCAGAAGCAACATCATGCAGTTTGTTGCAAGAAATACATGAGTTAACTCTTTGAAAGTTCTAGCAAATGACAAATGTTAAAGAAAGGTAGGTACTGTCCCTGTCTGTGGATAGGCAGGGGTGGGGAGAGTAGGTTCCCAGCGAGAACAAAAAGGAAATGAGCATATTTTTCTAACGAAGTCAACGTGGGACTGTTGAAGGATGGCAGCTTAGACGAGCCCCCCTTTCTTATTCTATCACCTTGAAGCGAAAGAGCTGCTGCTGGGATGGCAAATAAAGAGAGGAAACTCTCTTTCAAAGAGTATTGGAGCTCGGCTGGTGGGCTCAGTGTTGAGGGTCAACCCATGCACCAAGAGGTCGCCAGTTCAATTCCCAGTCAGGGCACATGCCTAGGTTGTGGGCCCCATCCCCGATGTTCTCTCTCATCGGTGTTTCTCTCTCTCTCTCTCCCTTTCCCTTCCCTTCTCTCTAAAAATCAACTTTAAAAAAATAGTATTAGATAAATCTGGATGCTTACATATTTTAAAAAAATGTATAAATGAGTAAATAAAAGTATATGCATAAAACAGTAAACATTACTCAAAAATCACCACCATTTGCCACATACCATCATTACACTTTACTGGACAACTGAAAACAGAGATCTTACTTGGGCAATGAAGACACTGGCCAACCACTCCATCTGAGCTTGTAAACTATCACAACACAGGTACCTGCAAAGCCAGATGGACAAATACATAAATCAAGAAGTTTATTCTCCAGTGTGCTTGGTGATTAAGTAATGATTTCTCTGATTGATGACTTAATGCAATCAACATAGGAGTATTTCAGTACAAGTTGCTTCCGGCTTCTTAAGGACACAATATAAAAATAATAGTGTACATATTTGTACACTATTTGAAACACACTATAACTAAGGTTTTGATAACTGCTCAACAATGATCAGCAATATTTTTGGAAAGGCAGAAATGTCACTGGCTTTATAAAGTTCATGATGCGAAAACATCTTTATCCCTAGAAACTCCCAGCATAAGAAGAAAAACATGAACATACTTTCTTAACAACCGATTTTTTTAAAAAGGCTTTGACAGTCTCCATCCTTATGATTATAAATATTAATACCCACAAGACTCATGAAAAATAAACTAAGTGAAAAACCACTGCCTGTCCAGTAACACCTTTTGTTGAAAGCCTATATATAACAGATCTTGCCTCAAGATTCACATCGTGCCCTGGCTGGTTTTGCTCAGTGGTTAGAGCGTCGGCCTGCGGTCCAGAGAGACCCAGAGCACGTACCTCGGTTGCAGTCTGTCCCCAGCCCTGGTTGGTAGTGCGGGAGGCAGCCACTCGATGTGTCCCTTTCACGTCGATGTTTCTCTCTCTCTCTTCCTCTCTCTCCCACCCGCTCTATCTGAACAAAAAATGAAAAAATGTCCTCGAATGAGGATTGAAAAAAAAAAAAAAAGATTCACATCGTCCACTAGGGGAGCCAGAGTGCAAACAGAGGAGGTAAAACTGAGGGAAACCAAGAGCTGAAACTAACAGGAACAGCACACTTGGGGATGAGGTGGAGGTTGTTCCCTCTGAGAGGAAAATTTTGTAACTGGTGGGAAAATGAGAAAACAGGCATTGCAATGAACTATATTTTTTATATTCCTGTACAATAAAAAAAAAAAAATATTTGGGAAAAATGTTAAAATTTCTGAACTATTTTTGCTTCATTAGATCCTCATAAAGACCCTATCTCTTCCCATCACCAGGTCCAAGAAAACCCTTCTCCCTACAGATCATTTTACTTACACACCCAGGTGTACAGAATACTGTAGACAGGAAGAAGATAGACACAGTGCTCACAGGTGAGAGTTAGAGGGTTTGGGGGCATTTGAGCTGCGGCTTGAATGAAGGACAGGTGAGCCGAGCAGGTGAGCAGAGAGTAAGGAAGAAGGCTGGGTAAGGGGACCACACCTATTAAACACGTAGATATGAAACAGCAAGGTGTGTGCGGTGAATTCAAGAGAGAGGATTGTTTTATCGTTCAGTGAAAAGGAAAAGTCAAGGATGATGAAGCTGATGAAGCCCCTATGTAAGGGAATTGTACGCCATGCCAACAATTCTGTACTTTATCCCATAGGCGACAGGATTCACAGGAGAGTTTTCAAGCAGGAAAGAAACATGATACACTTTAGAAAGTTTCTTTGGTGGCTGGGTGGAGAATGTACTAGAAAACAGAAGCAAAGTCAGAGGCAAGGAGCACACTTATCACTCCTGGTGTAATCCAAGGAGATGGATGAAGGCATGGCCCTGAGGGTACAGGGCACCGGTGGGTCAGAGATCATGAAGGGGCATATTTGGTGCAGTCAGTGAGGATCGACACAGGCAGGGGAGAGATGACATCTAGCAAAACCTCTCGGGAGAGTGGCTAGATTCTGGTGACATCAGTGGAATCAAGTCCATACATGTAAAGAGCAGGTGGGAGACCAACATTTTTCTCGTTCTTATTCTTTATTTAAAACTGAATTTTGGCCCTGGCCAGTCTGGCTCAGCAGTAGAGCGTCAGCCTGTGGTCCAGAGAGACCCGGGTTCGGTTCCCGCTAAGGGCATGTACCTCGGTTGCAGTTTGTCCCTGGCCCTGGTTGGGTCGTGCAGGTGGCAGCCACTCAATGTGTCCCTTTAATGTCGATGTCTCTCTCTCTCTCTCTCTCTCTCTCTCTCTCTCTCTCTCTTCTTTCCACTCTATCTGAACAAAATATGGAAAAATGTCCTCTGATGAGGATAAAAAAAAGACAAAAAACAAAAAACTGAATTTTGCCTGCTTATCTCATAAGAGCCAGGATTCCGCACTCATAACTAGAGAGAAATCAGACACAGTTTCTCTTAAGAGGTACAGGCAATTAGGACACATGAGACTGAAATGGACCTAAACCCTGGAAGCAACTATACTGTCTTCCTAGGCTCCAGGTATTTAGTAAAGATTTTACCTTCACTCAGGTAAAACATTCCCTGTCTATAGATCTACCTGCCAAATCACATTATTCGTTTACTGACGTTTCCATTAATACCTCACATCCCCAAACTGCCAGCTGGAACTTACCAGAGATGTTTTTCAGAATAGGCTGTCAATCCCCAACTGCATCACATGGAAAAAACACAAACATATTCAAAATGATGAATTTTACAAGACTGAAAACAGGCTCGGCTGCTAAGGAGGTAGCATTTCATGGTGGAGAAGCATAACAGAACTGACACCCACAAGTGATGATTCCATGGGTGTGCTTTAGCTAGAGGTACGTGACAACTGTTGAGGGATTTGGCTACACATTTAAATATGCGGTGGGAAGGAGCCTTGTGAGGGTAAAGGGCATTGGGGAACATCTCTCCAAAAGCAACCTTGCGCAAAAGCAGATGTCTAGGAAAATGTCCAAAGAGAGAGAGAAAGAGAAAGAGAGAATGAGAATAGACATGCTGACACACTGCTAGTGTGAGAAATTAAACAGTGTGCCAATCGCAACACAAGTATATGTGTTGAGCTTATGAATTAAGCATGGAGACAAAAATGAGAACATTTTCAGAATCTCAAATCATATACAGTTCATTAAAATGAAGTTTCATGAGGTTAACTATGTAAGTAGACAATTAATTAGCTAATCAAAGTAATTTGTGATAAGAAAGTACAGTGTAACTCCAGCCAGGTGGCCGGTCAGTTAGAGTGTCATCCCATACACCAAAAAGGTCGCAGGTTCAATTCCCAGTGAGGGCACATACCTATGTTTTGGGTTTGATCCCCTGTAGGGGCATGTACAGGAGGTGACCGACTGATGTTTCTCTTTCACATCAATATGTTTCTCTCTCTCTCTCTCCTCCCGCCCCCCTTTTCTGAAATCAATGACCATATCCTCAGGTGAGGATTAAAGGAAACAGAAAAGAGAAGTACAGTGTAAAGCAAATGTTGGGTTGATTCAAGTGTTAAAGAGAAACATGATGTTTAAGAGGCGTCCACTTCACACTGGCTGGTTTGGCTCAGCAGTTAGAGCGCTGGCCCTCAGACCAAAGAATTGTGGGTTCAATTCCCAGTAAGGGCATGTACCTGGGTTTCAGGTTCAATCCCTAGCCCCAGTTGAAGTTGTGTGGGAGGCAACCAATTAATTTGTCTTCCTCAAATGGATGTTTCTCTCCTCCTCTCCCTCCCTCCCTCCCTTCCACTCTATCTAAATAAAAAACGAATGGAAAAATATCCTCAGGTGAGGATTAACACACATACACACACACACACACACACACACACACACACACACACACACACACACGGGGAGGCACTTCCTCTCTACCATCTATGTGCTATGGATTTACTGCAAGTTCAGCAAAGCACAATGGGCAAACTATAGAGCCGGGAACAATATGTTCTAAAAGCCAAGCATCAGGAGGCCGAGGGCAGCCGTCTGTCTTCCTGTGCACAGAATGGCTGGGAGCATTCCTTACGCTGTGACTGGGGAAGGAATGGGATGTGGATGAACCAGGTGTTTCCAAGCAGACAGGGCCGTCCGGGGACTTCTACAAAGGGGACATGCGATCACCCAGAAGCCTGCCTGGGATGGGGACACCCACCCTCCTCATCCACCCACACGGTTCTCTTGATCTGGAACTTCAGAAACTTGACTGAAGCTTAGTTAATAAAAAGTTAGAATAGTACCACCGGTCCCTAATTCCTTGAACAGACATATGTTCCCCTAACTCTTACAACCACCCTTCCCCTTCAAGCTTTACCTTGTTGGAGGTTTCATTTTCTTTTTCACTCCAAGATAAAACTTCATTGAACTGAGAGGGAACATTTTGTCAGGTTTGCTACTCTGTAAGGAGAAACAGTATGTAATGAAACATTCTATAAATATCCTTGTTATTTGCATTGAGTGTAATGACTGGGCTTGGAATTATTTAGTTCCTCCAATGTTTTATGAATGTAAAACCAAATTTTTAGTAAGAGTGTTTTGATGACAATGTTATATATTTAAACACATAATTTTGGATATATATGTATGTTTATATATGACTATTTAAATTCACATACACAACAATTCCTTACTCATAACACCTGGAACCAGAAGTACATCAGAATTAATAATTTTTCATCTTTTTCATATTTTAAAAATACAATTTAGTGCATATACAATGTTACATAACTCCACACACTACCGGGGTTGTTGGGGCAGCACCCTGTATTCAAATATATTCCTATTTCCATATTAAAATGAGACATTTCATACAATATGAGATACATAAAGGCTATAGATACTGTTATAGACAATGTTTATATAGCCCCCTGCCCCCCCGACCCCCACAATTCATATGCTGAAAGCTAATCCCCAGTGTGATGGTATTTAGAGGTGGGCCTTCAGAAGGTAATAGGTCATGAGGGTGGAGTCTCATGAATAGTATCAGTGCCCTTACAGAAAGGGGCCAGAGAGCTAGGTTCTCTCTTTTCACCAGGTGAGGATACCAGAGGTTGGTAATCTACAACCTGGAAGAGGGTCCCTCCCTAGAACCGGACCAAGCTGGCAACCTGACATCCAGCCTCCAAAACTATGAAAACCGAACATCTGCTGTTTGTAAGCTGCCCAGTCTATGCACAGTACTTGGAGCAGACCGAACTATCAAAATCTTCATGTTGGTTTGGGTCAAGTTTTGCTACCAAATGAGTTGTGACTGTCCATACTTTTTGGATTTCAGAACTATAGAAAACATATCGTGAACCTATATGGACACATACTGAACTATCTCAAATATCCATATGAATGAAAATTTTTCACTAATAAATTCATGAAAATAGATTATAAAAAAGAGTGCACATACAATTGCTTTAGATCAATTGTACATTCTCCATACACATTCTGGCATATTTATCTGTGATGAATATTTTTAAAATGTTAATCCTTGAACACAGACCACCAGGAAAGTTGTCTGACAAGCAAAACTTGAATCATTATACTTTAATTAAAAAACTAAATATCAAATCACATACATTTTAATGTTTATCCTTGGATACCCTGCAATAGATTTTATAAAGATAATAGCTATGGAAATAATTATTAACAGTCCCTATATCCTAAAAATTCTCAAGGAACTCTCATTTCAAACCGGTAGGCAGATAGCGTTTATAACTGACAGAGGGGCTGAGGCTCGGAGAGCCCTTGGTGCAAATCTGTCTTGCTACTTACTGGTTTGTGACCTCATATAACTTCTCGTGGCCCTTATTTTCACTATCCCTGTTTACAAACTAGAAATATTGACCGTCTCATAGGGTTATTATGAAAATTAAATGAGAAAGTAGCGAGTCACTGTGAAAGGCTTTGGTACAGACCAAGGGAGAAAAATGCTTGTCCCGGGTTTAGTCCGGTAACTGGCATGTGGCAAGCACACAGGAGATTGTGACTGTTATTGTACATTTAGAACACACCCACAGAAATGGCAATACAGACAGGTTACTAGGATCGAAGACAGTGCACAAAAGCCCATTTGGCAAATATGTAGCTCAAATCAGTGCTAAGTTCTATCAAACTTAAAACTCTTACTATGAAATCTGTTTCTTATGAAAACAGCAGCATTTGAAAAGGGGTGGAAAAGATGTTTATAAAATCAACACTTGGTTTCCATGGAGAACACAGGTATAGAGGATACACAGAGGAAAAGGTAAGTAGTAAGAGGATCAGGAATTATGCTTTGGTGACAAATGGCTTCTATAACAGCAATGACAAGGCCTGGAATTTACATGATGAATTTACTCCTAGTCACTATTATTTTTTGTAATAAATAGCCTCACCCAAGGCTATTTTTCCATTTTTTTTTTTTTTTTTTTTTTTTTTTTTTTTTTTTTTAGATAGAGTAGAAGGGATGGAGAGAGAAACATTGATATGAGAGAAACAAAAATCAGTTGCCTCCCAAACGACCCTGACTGGGCTGGGGATCGAACCTGCAACCCAGGTATGTGCTATGTATTATAGAAGAACAAGGATTAAGTCAGTCAATCTAATAAAGACCAAGGTGGGTGACCCATTAAAGAAAACCAAGTAAAATTCAACCTAGATGACTTGACAATCAGCTGTGAAGTTTAACATTTACTTTCACAAATATAAACCTAAGTTCATGAACTTTAAACGCTGATGTGTTCAGTTCACATAACCCCAGATTCTTATGTGCCTTACTTCTGCAGACTCCATTTTCCCTCTAGGGAAGAACTGCAGGAGAAGAAGAAACAGTGGCTTGCACCTGCAGACTCCCTGTGGGGTCTGTCAGGCGGAACGGTGGGGTAGGCGGGCCAGCAGGGCAGATACACCACCTCTGGACAGAGGCACCAGGTGCAGAATCCAGGGCTGTCCTGCTAGCTTCCTGCCTGGACATGCCACATGCCACTATCCTCAGAGAAAGTGAATATGAGATGTTTGCATAAAGTAGGAATGCAACTAAGATTCCTTTATCGCCATGAATGGAGGCTTCCCTGGAGAAACATACAGAGAAAGTGGTCCAAGGAGGAGGAGACCTCAACACATACCACCAAGAAATGGGGCCACAGAGCTTAGTAAAGTTGCCTAACAACTCTCTCTTCATAACATGCTAACAGGTGTTGCGAGTCTGGTCTTTCTCTGTACACTGCCACAACACAACATAGTGAAGCGCCACACACTTCAAGTGTGCAAGCAATGTACAATTCAAGTGAGTTTTATTATTCGATATAAAGAAATGTGGCTTGGTCCTTGCTGTCATTCAGCATTTAAAATAACGGCAAGGCTACTGCCTGAATCTTAAGGAAGTCGAGATTATTCTACACACACCCATGCGCCCACCACCCAAAACTGGATAGAGAACATTTATTTCTGTCATTCTAGGAAGTACCTCCCGACTCTGCCTCTTCACAGTTCCACACCCCAGGCAAGCACTTGCTAATTTCTATCACCATTAATGGTTTTGCCTGATCGTAGACTTCTTACGGACAGACTCATATGGTACTATTTTGTGTTGAGCTTCTTTTACTCAACAGGGATCTGAAGGTGCACTTGTACCCATGCTGCTGCATGCACTGATACTCACTTATTCTACTGCTGAGTGCGATTCCATTGCATGAATTCATCCTTCTTATATTGATGGTCACTTGGACTGTTTCCAAGTTGCAGCTTTTATGAATAAAGCTGCTTCTGAACATTCTTGAACAAGTGCTTTTGTGGACATAATACTTAGGGACAGACTTGCTGGGTTATGGGGTAGATGTACTAATAACCTTCTCTACAAACTGCCTAACATTTCAACACAGCGATTGTTTATTCCATCAGCAATTTATGAGTTTTAGTTAATCAACATCCGTCAACATTAGATGTTGTCAGTCTTATAATTTAGTCATTATAGTCAATTAAAAGAGTAAAACAGCATTTCAAAGTTTTAATTTGCATTGATTAATTTCCATTAGCTAAACTCAAGCAACTTTTGCTTTAGGGCATGACCCATACTCTCAGTCAATTTTATTGACTGAGATGCTGATTTATATGCTAGTTTATATAACACATATTAGGCTTTTCTTTAGAATTTTTTTTTTATCCTCACCCAGGGACGTTTTTCCATTTTTTGTTCAGATAGAGTGGGAGGGAGAGAGGAAGAGAGAGAGAGAGAGAAACATCGACGTGAAAGGGACATATCAAGTGAATGCCACCTGCACAACCAACCAGGGCCAGGGACAAACTGCAACCAAGGTACGTGCCCTTAGCAGGAACCAAACCCGGGTCTCTCTGGACCACAGGCCGACATTCTAACTGCTGAGCCAAACCAGCCAGGGCATTTTTCTTCAGGAATTAAGTCATTCTCTGCTCTAAAAAAATGTGACAGACATGCTCAGAAAGGCCATATATGAAGCTCTTTACTATGTTACCGAGTGCATTACTATCATATCCCAGAGGCTGAAAGAAATCCTCAGCCTCCTATGCATTTTGTTTACTACAGGCTTTGACTCCCAAGAGAGAAGGCTGAGAAAGGTATAAAATAAAAATGTTAATACCAACACAAAAATGTGTACATATTCAAATACTACACATACAAGTACCTTCTGATCCTTGTAAAGAATGAGATATCCATTTCGTAAAACACAATACCGATCTTGAAATTTATTTCCAGCCAGTATTTTAGATGGTTCTTCTTTGATTTTCAAGGCTCCCTCTTTGATATTTTCCAGGGCCCATCTCTCTGTAAATGAAGTACATTTCTTCTGTAAATTGGGTACATTTTCATTTATTTGGAATAGAATATAAAACATTTCTATATTTTCAGTTTTGATATTATGAAGTAATAACTTGTTTCCTATAATTAAGAAGCCTATGGTTAATTTCTGGGAATACAGCATGCCAGGAGTGTGTTGGACAAGTCACAGACCCACAGAATGGATTTATTTATATCTATTTATAATATATAGGCCTGCCCATGATGTCCCTTTAGTACTTAAAACATGGTTAGTCTCAATTGAGATGTGCTATACATGTAATATATACATCAGATTCTGAAGACAGTACAAAAAAGCAAAAAAAAATCTCACAATTTTGCAAGATTGATTACATGTCAAAATATTTTGAATATGTGAGTTTAAATAAAATATATTAGTAAAATTAATTTCACTATATATATTTAATGTGGATGCTAGGCAACTTAAAATTACATAATCAGCTTGCATCATATTTCTTTTAAATAGAACGTGTACAGGCAATGCAAATACACAAGTCAATAGGGAAACCTCTAGCAGAATTCTGACACAGGAACCCAGGAATTTCTAAGGCATTCAAGAAATTCCCAGCAATATGAAACAGCTAAGGATAACTAAGGCAAAGCAGCTAACGTAGAATATTTAACATCAATTATATTTCATATGCAATATTGTGATTGTCCCACACTTAGGAATTGTTTCAACTAATTTTATTAAGAAAACACTTTTTGGTAAGAATACCAAATTTGTATGTGCATTAATTTATCAATATATCTCCATAAATTTAACATGTAAACATTTATCAATATATCTCCAGTCTAAAACTTCCTCCTCGAAATCCAGACAGTAATCAGCAGCCTACATGAGAACGGAAGCACAGGGCGAGAAAACGCCGAGTCGGGTAGCCATGACTATTGCAGTGCCCACTCCTGCTTCCCCTGTGACACGGGAGCCCTGACCGTCCTGCAGACGGCAGACGGCTGTGGCCCTCACAGTAGATGATGTCCACAGAAGGTGCAGGGTGGGTACCACAGCAGGCCGGGACCATTAGCAACTTCTTGGTGTTAAGGAGATACAATTCTAGAATATTCATGCATAATTTCCAAAATTTATAAAATAACTTGAATGACTGTAGAAAGAAGAATTCTGTCTTCAACCAAATAATCCTTGGTTTGGGGAAAACCCTACTTACACAGAAAATAATACACAGATGTTCACAATTATAATTAGCATAAGAAAACACTTTTTTAAAAAAGATGAGCATGGAATAACTTCCTAGAAGAAAAACCCCCATGATGAATCACGTCACTGATGCTAACCACAAACAATCACAGGTCATCGACAAACCCACCCCCATTTCCATGATACCCACGTACTGGCCACAGATAACATTCCTTCAATCACACTGTCATACTAAAATAGGTTATTTTTAGGTAGTTTGTGACTTTCAAATAAATTCTGAATAACACTGCTAGAATGGTCTCCTGGTACAATTTATTAATATTGAGTTTCATAAAAATATTTTAAATGATATTTTAGCCTTGGACAGTTTGGCTCAGTGCTTAGAGTGTCAGCCTGCAGACCAATGAGTTGCGGGTTCAATTCTGGTCAAGGGCACATACCTTGGTTGTGGTTTGTCCCTGGTCCTGGTCCAGGTCGTGCGGGAGGCAACCAGTCCATATGGCTCTATCACATCAATGTTTCTCCCCCCGCCCCCACTCTGTCTAATAATAAGAGAAAAATATCCTCCAGTGAAGAATAAAATAAAATGATATTTTATAGCTAAATAACTTCTACTTAAATTAAAAATAACACTTTTACAATTAAGAGACTTGAAGGCATGTTTTTATACAATTGGAAGATAAGAGAAAAATTCACATTATATAAAACTAGTATACATTTTAGACTTTTAAAAATGTTCACATAGCCCTGGCTGGTTTGGCTCAGCAGTTAGAGCACTGGCACGTGGACCAGGGAGTCCCGGGTTCGACTCTGACCAAGGGCATGTACCCCGGCCCCAGTTGGGATCCTGCATTGGGCAGCCAATCGATGTGTCTCTCACATCGATGTTTCTCTCTCTCTCTGTATTTCTCTCTCTCTCCCCTCCTCCCACTCTGAAGATATTTGAAAACAATATCCTCGGGTGAGGATTAAAAAAAATAAGTTCATATATTTTACCTCATGTGATTTGCATGCAAATTTCTGAAGTAGGGAGTACAGGTGATTTAATTTAATTTCACAAATGAGAAAATTGTGGCTCACAAAGGTTATGTGACAAGGTGAGAAGGCAACATCACTAGAATCACAGTTCAGGTCTCTTAATATCAAAGAATCTTATCTTTTATGCTGAGACACTTCTAAGTAATGGTCACGATCATTGTGATCACCACCTAAACCACAATAACAGTAAACATCCAGGTACCTTTCTTGACCTCCTGCACCATTTTACACTGTTCAGCAATTTTTTCCCCCTAAAACTTAGTCCTTTGATGATTTCCCTGACATTGCTCTGTGTTTGTTTTCTTGTAACCTTGTTAATTGCTCCTTCTCGCACTAGGCCTCCCTTGATAAATCCATCCCTTAAAAGCAAATCATGGTAACTCTCTGCTCAGCCCGCTAATGTTCTTACTTTATCAAGTCAGCTGCACGATCCTGTCTTCCCAAGGCTAAAACCATGTCCATACAATACGCTTCACCACTTCCTTCGTTCCCTTCCGGACATCCGCCCTGAGCACCCTTCACAGACAAGTAAACCCAACACATCCAACCCAGAATTCAGTGCCCTACCCCTATGGCAGCCCAAATAGTAACCTCTGCTGTGCTCCCTTCCTATGCAAAGCAGGACACTGACTGTCTCTGTGACAAGGCAACGCTGACTTCCTAGGACGCGCCCTAACTACCTGAGTAGGTGCCCCTGCAGTCTGGTGGAATTCTATCAGTCACTTCCTCCATCACAAAGTGCTTTCTTCATTTATAAGTTTAAGAAGTTTACTCAACAGGTACTTGTAGTGGGTAAAATAACAAGATAGAGTTGTATAATGGAAGACTAAGACATAGAAGAAAAACGAAATAGGAAATGATATTTCCTTGACTGAGAGACATTCAAGTGTTAGAAAAGATGTCAGTGACCATCGGGCTGAACCACTTTTCTGTACTTGAAAGCTCTCCATGAAAATACACACCCTGGTCTACAGCAGTCATTTGTAGCATCCTGTGTGTGTATTTATATTCATATTTAAATAGTCTTCGTACATTTGGATTTTCTGTTCCTTGTGGGAAATGAAAACCCTTTAAGTTTTCCACCGATTTCTACCTGACACAGAGAGCTAACGGAACCTTACCAACTGGCTTTCTCAGTACCAAAGTACAGTAAGTCAGGACATTCATACTCTAGTGAACATCAAAGACGATCACCAAGTCCCAAGAAAACTTCCACTTGAAGTAAACTGGGTCTTACCTTCAACTTTTAAACATCTTCGGATCTAAAAAAGATTTCATGGGAGTGGCATGTGAACTATTTTAGCTAGACTATGATTTATAGACTCATTATATTTCTTCTGAAATTTACTTTTATTTTCCTAAGTCAGTTGATAGTGGATGGCTCAGCTTTCCAGGTCTGAACTTGCTGGAAGCAGGAGTGTTTGGAACTATTTGATTCTAAATCAAGCTTGATTCCAAAGCCTCTGTCTTAGGCAGCCATCGAAATGTAGAAACCCCCAGAGATGTGCATTCGAGTTACATCTTATGTCTTACAAGTATTCCACTTGTAAGTGGAATTACTCCATCATATTCTATTGGGGTAATTTTTAAAAAATTGAGCATTTAAAATAAGACTTTAGCAACATAAAAGTATTTACTCTTTAACTTTACAGAAGCTATAAAGTTATGCCTTACTTGTGATGCAAATGTTGAAACAACTCAATATAACAGATAACGATAAAAGATGGTGTAATAAGATTAGCTATGACAAAGTCTATTTAGCCACTTTAATAAAATTTTATACTCGCTACCTCAATGTCTAAGTCATAATCCACAGGGTGAAAAAGAAATCTGAGAACTAGCCTTTCTTTTCAAGCTAGTTAACGCCTCATTACAATAATGACAACGGCACAAAAATGTTTCTAAGAAATCAAATGCTGATTTTGAAAAGCACGGAATTGTTTTTTAAGTGGAGGCAACAGAAAATTCATTTACTCTAGTTTACTTCTATGAAAGTAAAGTATGTTACCTCATTACCTTAAATGAATGAGCAGAAATGAAGTGTTGGCTGAATCTGCATCTATTCCTACTATTATGTCTACACTTTCAACTGTTCAGATGAAGGGAGAAAATTAAAATCCCTAGCCCCCCAAACTTTTATTTGATAAAAATTCTTCAATTAGCAAGAAGGTGGTGAAAACATAATGTCAATCAAAAGTATATGCTTAGAATTTACAAAAAATAAATGTCACACAGTTAATGAAGTGTAAGTCATATATGTATTTGTATGTGTAGTTAGAGTTGGAACAGAGACAGGTGGACAGACAGTAAAATTTGTGGCCACGAGGTGTCAAGTCTGAGGGATCAGTGTCAAGGACGGGGTGTTGCTACTTTACGTTTCAAAAAATGTAAACTGAGAGAAAATGTGACTGCAACCACCATCCTTATCTCAAACTCCGCTGACTTCCATTTGCCACCGCCCACCCCAGGTTAGAATAAGAGAATCTTAGGTGAAAGAAATCTTTAACATTGTTCTGTTCCTGCTGTGAAGAGCAGTGTATTTCTGAGAAGACTCTGGTTTTTCTAACAAACTGACAAAAAAATCACATATCGCTTATTTTCTATATTTTCCTTTTAGGTCTCGAGTTTAAGGAGTAGTGGATATACTCAAAGGAACAATAATTCCGGAGTTGGTCACTGTGATTGATTTAGGGGATATTAGCCAAGACAGAGACAAAGTAGAATGAATATCTAACCCACCTAAAACCTATCACACAGTATAACCCATAAAAAGTACTTCTAAGTGCCAGGTTGCTACAAGATCCAACTACGGGGCGGGGGGGGGGGGGGGGGGGGGGGAGGGGTAGATCATGATTTAAGAAATTGATTTAAAAACAAACAAAAAAACCTCAGGCCAGAGCTGATTTTTTTTTTTTTTTTTAATCCTCACCCGAGGACATTTTTTCTATTTTTTGTTCAGATAGAGTGCGGGAGGGAGAGAGAGAGAAAGAAACATCGATGTGAAAGGGACACATCGAGTGGCTGCCACCCACACGACCCAACCAGAGCCGGGGACAAACTGCAACCGAGGTACGTGCCCTTAGCGGGAACCGAACCCGGGTCTCTCAGGACCGCAGGCCGACGCTCTAACTGCTGAGCCAAACCGGCCAGGGCCAGAGCTGATTTAAAAGGCAATCCTGAATTCACACCGAGGCAGAACAACCATAATGAAAGAGACTGTTCTACTTTGATAATCAAGCTCTAATTAAAAACATTTCTAAAAATTTTGTTGGCTACCAAACTAAGAAAAGTACTTAAAATATTTATTTCATAGGTACTTCTATTTTTGATCCAAAATATGTAACTACTAATATGAAATGATCCCATTTTTTTTTTTTACTGACGATGCTACTTTCAAACTCGACTCTTTTCATGCAGTGAGACCATTTATTGGTGGAAACAACTCTAATGGAGAGTATAACAAGCTGTATAACGGTCTGGCAAACTGAGGCAGGAACAGCACAGGGACAGGGATGCGTTTCAGCTCTGCCCTGGCAGCGGGATGATGGAGACAGGAGAGTAACAGAAGTAGTGCCATTTTACTCTGGAGAATGTTCCATCCAGATCGGGAACGACCACGTAAGCCTGCCCTCCACCCCTCGGCTTCTCCAGTTCCTACGCGTGGCGCTTGGCCCAGACTCGCAGAGGCTGGGTGCTTTCACAACAGGAGGACAGATCGTGACCCACGCAGGAGCCACCGGGGATGTGAGCTTCCCTGCAGTGCCCACCCTTCCTACCCAGGCTGTGGGTACAGCCAGCGCTCAGTGTGTCACGCTACCGTTTCTTCTTGTCTTTAATCAGCACAGAGATTTTACTCCGAGGCGATGCTCTCCACGTGCTCATCGTTACTCCACCCCCACCCCACTTCCCCAAATCAGCAGAACTGAACAGTGTCCGCGTTTGGCGTTTGGATTATTCTTCACACCTGCACAAAACCTTCCTTTATATCATAGCCTTTTATGATGTTATTTTTGTCTATTCATATTCACAGAGCCAGCCCGCTACCTTTCAAACAAGAGCTAAGGTATTATAGCTAAGTGTGGGTGTCAAGTATTTTGCAACACGAAGAATTAGGTATTTGAAAGAATACCAGAAAAAAATGAAAAGCAAAATACTCACCAGAAAAAGAAAACTTTACCAGAAAAGTTGACTTATTTTCTAGAATAAATCATGAGAACCTATTTTATATATGTGTGTGTGTGTGTGTGTGTGTGTGTGTGTGTGTGTTTATAAAGCCAAACTTGCGGTTTATAAAGCCACCCAGTCCACCGTAGTTACAGCGGCCGAGACATCATCACGAAGGCCGCAATTTATCAAGTTAGCCATGGTACAATTTAGAATTCACTGGCCTGTGGATAATAGCTGGAGAGCCTGCAGTCCTACTAAGTAGCAGGTGTACAGCATTTAAGAATTGTATCGATACCCCCACATTGTTTTTTAATTATTAGAGGACAAATCTGTTTTCAAATCCAATATTAGCTATAATCTGGGTGGGGCAAGTTACTTCATTTCTCTGAGCTTCTCTCTCCTAATTTGGAAAATTCAAATGACAATATAACTCACAAGGACATTTAAAAAAGTTTAAACGAGAGTTGGTGTGTTTAGAGCTCAGTAAATGATTAGTATGTTATTAGGTTGTTATATAATATGTGATTAACATATTAATAGAGTTCAGTTAATATACCATTAATAAATTACAATGGTTATTAATATTAATTATTTAGCTGTGGTAAGTTTCACCTTACAGAACCTGAATCCTTTGCTTTTGGGGTTATTTTATATGCAAAGCTGGCAGGAAATCCTTTTCTGACCTGTCAGTTAATACCAACAGAAAGAAGAATCACAGTTTTTAAATAAAAGTTTTGTTTTGTTTTGTTTTGTTTTTTTTGGTGAATCCTCACCCAAGGATATTTTTCCCATTGATTTTTAGAGAGAATGGAAGGGATGGGAGAAGGAAGAAAAGGGAGAAAGGGAGAGAGAGCGAGAAACATCGATATAATAGAGACACATCAATTGGCTGCCTACCGCATGTACCCTGACTGGGGCCGAGGATCGAACCTGCAACCAAGGTATGTGCCCTAGACCAGGAGTCGAACCTATGACCCTTTGGTGCATGGGCCGATGCTCTAACCACCGAGCCATGCTGGCCAGGGCATCAAAATAAAAGTTTTCTGATCTCTCATCCAGGCTCAGAGACTGTCTTACATGGTCCTGTGTGCTAGCTAACTTCTTATTTAACCTGACAAATATACATGTCTTCTCCCAGGTGGATGTAAGTATCTTTATTGGAAATGTTTTATTTTATACTTTTTGTTTTATAACAACAACAAAAAGAAAATTATAATAAGCAATCGATCTCAGAGCTTGCCTAACTTGTACTTCTTGGATACCCAGAGAACTTTCCTCACTCAGGAAGAAGGTTCACCTGCTACCTAAACATTAGAAAAACATTAAAGCATGGCAAAGGCCCTTAAACACATAAACCACTCCTTCCAAAGGCTTTACTTTGGCACCATCAGATTAGCCAACCACTACCAAAGTGTCGTGCTCAGGCACTTGGTTCTGTGCATCTACATGTTCTTTCTCTTGGACAATACTCTGTCACCAGGTTCTGTGGTTAGCTACTCATTTTTATTTTATACATGTTCAAATAACACTTGTCCCATAGTAATCATCCTTTAATCACCCAATTCTCAGTCGCAGTTGCAATGTGAAATAAGAGCACCTACCGTTATAGAGTTGGACTGTGTTCGTGGTTAAGAATCTCTTCACCACAAGGTAAGCAGAGCCAGGTTCAGCTAATGAACTCCAGCGAAGCACCTGCTCCAACACATTTTCTGTGTAGTGAAGAGGGCGCTCTGCAAAAGAAAACCAATCAAATAAAAATACATTAAGATGTCACTTTATATAACTATAATTTTTTTAAATCCTTTAAAAGTAGCTATACTCAACAATAAGCATAACCATATCTATGATACACAACAATTGCATTAAGACTATATAAAAGAGACTCTTAACACCTAGAACACAAGTATATAATAACATCTACTCTATAAACGTATCTGTGCAGGAACATTTGTTTTTTGCTCAACTATTTAAAAAAATTCACAGATGCTATCCTTTAGATAAAAGCCGCAGAAATGATGCTAACCTTTTGTACAACAAATCATTATCTTGCACTATCTTCTTTTGAATTTAGATAGCATTCTGGTTTGTTTATGGAAATCTGTCTAATGCAATGAAATAACTGTAAAAGGATTAGCAAAATTACTCTTGTCCAGTAGCAAGTAACAACATAAATTAATCCGAAAGATTATCATATTGCAATTTCTGATCAATAGTAGTGAACAACTTAATGTTGATATTCTCATAGTCAATTAATATAAAATTATAAAAAATTTCAACAGAGAACATATGAAAATAATCAAAATATACTAATAGTTAATCTAAGTTTAACTATGAGTGGAAACATAAATCAGAAACACTATGTGACAATATTATACATTAACTGTTGATATGAAGGAACAAAAACAAGAAGTTAAAAACATCTTAAAGATTTATCCTTGATAAATACTCATCCATATACATTTTGTTTTATGCAATCATATTTTTTAATGCATCAGAAGTTCTTAGCACAAAGTTAAACAGATTTTGCAATGACAATCAAATCCTCACAGGAAAGTTTTTAGCTGATCATTAATAAAATGCTACAACAGAAGCATATACTGGGGAGAAAAATTCAACCCTTTCCACAGTACACTAAAAACAGCATAAGTAAAACAGCAAGCACATCAGCTCTAACAGCAAGATGCTGATGCAGCTTTCCCAGGATCACTGCCACACAGACGTCAATCCAATTCTTTCATATCCTTCTAAAAGCACTTCAGCTTTTCATTTTGGTTAAAATAGGAATGCTAATGACAAACTCGACAGTATCATAATGTTGATAGTATCATATTCACGTACGAACCATGATTTTTTAATTGATAATAAAACCACAAATAAAGACAACCAAATATATCATATCCCTCTTCATACCAGTGTCCAGAACTTATCAACAATCCCAGGCCCACAAAAGAACAAAACAAAAATTCTGCTTCCAATGGAAATGACCAGATTTTGCTTACTATTCAGTACAAGGTAATGCAATTCTGCATTTTATGTTTACTAGAGCAAGCCAATGATAATGGCAATTCAAATAATGAATGAATGAATGAATGCAGAAATACATAAATAAATATGAGCAAAGGCCATACATCTTGAAGATATATCTCCCTCTCATTTACATACATAGTAGAGTGCTGACTACATATATACTAGATGTTCAATAAATACTTGAGTAATAAAGTATCTTACTGAATTTCTATGGTGGCCTATAATTAACAGATTGCAAGTGGATCAGCAAACAAAATATAATTCTTTTTTTTTTTTTTTAATCCTCACCCGAGGACATTTTTTGCATTTATCTTCAGATAGAGCAGGAGGGAAAGAGGGGAGAAGAGAGACAGAGAAACATCAATGTGAGCTCTCTCGATTGGTTGCTACCCATAAAACCTCAACTGGGGCCGGGGACAAACTGCAACCAAGGTACATGCCCTTAGCGGGAACAAAACTTGGGACTCTCTGGTCGGCAGGCTGATGTTCTAACTGCTGAGCCAAACGAGCCAGGGCCAAAATATAATTCTTTATAAAACTAGAAAAAATATTTTATGCTATATCAATCTTGTTTTTCTTCAAATAATTTTATAAAGAGTTTAGCAAAGATCATAATTGCCCATAATTTGCCAAAGCTATAATTCACTTGTTGATTAATCTATACATTGGTCTTCTATTAATGGAGGTTATAATTCCATTTAACTGTATTTAAAAACAAAATTAATTATAATTTGAAGTCCTAGCCACAGCAATCAGACAAGAAAAAGAAATAAAAAGTTATCCAAGTTGGACTGTAAGAAGAAAAACTGTCACTATATCCAGATGACATGATACTTTATATAAAAAACCCTAAAGATTCCACCAAAAAATAAAAAACAAAACAACAAAGACTATTAAAATAATTAAATTCAGTAAAGTTGTAGGATACAAAATTAATATTCAGAAATTTATGGAGTTTCTATACACTAATGAATTATCAGAAAGATAAATAAAGGAAACAATTCATTTGCAAGAATAAAATATGTACTAACAAATTTAACTAAACAGGTGAAAGACCTATATTCTGAAAACTATAAGACACTGATGACAGAAACTAAAGAAGACACAAATAAATGGAACAATATACAGTGCTTATGAATTGGAAGATTTAGTGTCATTAAAATATCCATGCTACCCAAAGCAATCTACAGGGTCAATGCAATTCCTATCAAAATACCAATGCTATTTTTTGCAGAACTTAGAACAAATAATCCTAAAATATATATAGAACTACAAAGACCCCAAATACCCAAAGCAATTTTGAGAAAGAAGAACAACATTGGAGGTATCACACTCCTAGATTTCAATCTATATTACAAAGCTACAGTAATCAAAACAGCACGGTACTAGAACAAAAACAGACATATAGATCGATGGAACAGAATAAGATGCCCAGAAATTAACCCATGCTTATATGGTCAATTAATCTATGACAAAGGAGGCAGGACTATACAACAGGAAAAAGACAGACTCCTCAATAAATGGTGTTGGGAAAACCAGACAGATACATGCAAAAAAATGAAGCTAGACTACATTCTTAAACCATACACAAAAATAAACTCAGAATGAATTAGAGACTTAATGTAAGACCTGAAACCATAAAACTCCTAAAAGACAACAATACTGGCTATGAAGTCTTTGAGAGCAGTCTTAGCAATATTTTTTGAATATGTCTCCTAGGACAAGGGCAACAAAATCAAAAATAAACAAATGGGCCCTGGCTGGTGTTTCTCAGTGGTTAGAACACTGGCCTGTGCATCATAGGGTCTTGGGTTCAATTTGGGGGGCAACCAATTCATGTGTCTCACATTGATGTCTCTCCTCTCCCCCCCCTCCCCTCCCCTCCTCTCTCCTCTCCTCTCCTCCTCTCTCTCTCTCTCTCTCTCTCTCTCCCCTCCATCTCTCCCTTCCTTCCACTCTCTAAAAAATAAATAAATAAATAATGGGAAAATATATCCTCCAGTGAGGCTTAACAATAAAATAAAATAAACAAACGGAACTATATCAACTAAAAAGTTTTTGCACAGCAAAGGAAACCATCAAAAAAATTAAAAGGGAGAATGGCTAATATAAGAAAGATCAACAAATAACAAGTGTTGGTGACAACATGGAGGAAAGGAAATAATGTCAGTGGGATTGTAAACTGATGCAGCCACTATCAACTCAGTATAGAGTTCCTCAAAAAATTATAAATAGAACTACTACATGACCCAGAAATCCCACTTTTGGGTGTTGATCCGAAGAAAACAAAACACATTCAAAAAGTTATATGCACCCATGTTTACTGCAGCATTATATATAATAGCCAAGATATGAAAGCAACCTAAGTGTCCATCAGTGAATGAAAGGATAAAGATGTGATATATACACATCCACACACAATGGAATATTGCTCAGCCATAAAAAGAATGAAATCTTGCTATTTATGACAACATGGATGAATCTCAAGGGTATTGTGCTCAGTGAAATAAGTCAGAAAGAGTGAGATAAATGTATGATTTGAACTCATGTGGAATCTAAAAAACAAAACAAATGAACAGAAACAGAAACATACCCACAGATACAAAGAACAGACTGATGTTCTCCAGGGGAGAGGGTGGTACGGGAAGGGCAACAAAGGTGAAGGGGATGGAGAGGCTCAAATTTTTGGTTATAAAATAAGACGTGGGGATATAATGTACAGCACAGGGAATACACTCAATATCGAAAAAAACTAATTATAGAAATAAGCACTCTCTTTACATTTCGTGTTATATAATCTTCTTTTACTGCTTGCAAACTCTGGGAAACTTCTGATCCCATGAAGAGTTGCCATTTCTGGAATAACTACTATGTGTCAGACATTCTGTATGTTGGATACTTTGCAGTAAGTTCTCACAACAATATTCCTTATTAAATATTATTGTTATTCACACTTCACATGTCAGAAAACCCAGGGATCAGAGACATTTAGCCACTTGCCCAAAGTGAACTAGCTGGTTCAAGTAAGAAGCTGATTTGAACCTCATTATTTGTCTGACTTTACAACCCCAAATCTTAACGACTACACTTAGTTTCATTTTAGCAAGTATGTAAACCCACACATGATGCTTTTCTCACATGTAATTTGGGGAAAAAAGTATCAACTCACCAAATACTTTCTGAGAACTGAGCCAGGTGACATGAACAAAGGGAAAAACAATGTCAGGTTACACTGTTCCTAATTCCCTTCCACTTCCCAGTCCTTAGTGGGAGGGCAGTAGGAAGTACTAGCAAGGCACTCCAACCTCCCGCACTTAAGGAAACTGATGCTACTGCCGTTGGCTTGGAGATAAGGATGAGATATATAGAGAGAAAGAGAAAGAGAAATACCGATGCAAGAGAGACACATTGATTGGTTGCCTCCCGCATGATCCGACCAGGGCCGGGGACTGAACTGCAACCAAGGTGCATGACCTTGACGGGAATCGAACCCGCGATTCTTTGGTCTGAGGACCGATGCTCTAAACGCTGACTCAAACTGGCCAGGGCAAAGGTGATCTTCTTCACTGGAAAACAGTATCTGGACTGAAATAAAAGCTTACTCGTCTTTACTGGGACTTCTAAATCTCCGACAGTTTACACTGAAGAGGGACTGTTACAAGTAGGCACTGTGGTGACGGCTCGCAAGTGTTCTCAGTTAGAG